TGTTTTTTATTTTTGTATTTTTACTTGCTTCTCTGTTTTCCTTTTGTGCGTTAAGGAGTTAATCGTTATTGACAGAAGTGTAGTGTAGTTGGGCTTTTTGGCCAGGTTAGTGCCTTGAATCTGAACTGAAATGAACCTGCCGAGAGTGAAGGTTTTTTGGCGTTTTCGGGCCTTTGAACGCTAAACTGAGGTCAGGAATGGTCTTCTTATCTGAAGGATTTATAAATGTTGACTCTGGAATGGCTTTAATTTTTAAGCATTCTTATAAAAATATTTAAATAATTTACTGTTATTGACCAACTAAACTTTATAAATTTTCCACTTAATATTGGCTAATTTTATAGACTTGGCTAATAGTTTTTGAAACCACTTCCTTAGTTATTATGTTATTTAATTTTATAGCTATTTTTGAAGCTTTTACTTTGAAAATAATGAAATCCCACTTATAGATCAGCTTGCTGGATTTGCCCGCCAAATTGCAGTTCCTTGCCCTTTGCAAGAAATTACCTCACAAATTGTAAAATCTTTTTTGTGAGTAATTTCCCCACAATGAAAAGTAAAATCTGCGGCTGGAGTAGCAACAAAAACAAACATCAACCGCATAAACAAGCGGTATTTGCACTTTTGCGTTAAACAATTTGAATGAAATCAGAGCAAGCAATGCCGAGCCTAAAGAGAGTGTTTTTCGGAAGAGAAGTGCAGCGGCAGAAGAGAAAAGTTTCAAGAGCAAACACCCACACATGCAAGAAAAAGCTTCGCCATTAAGAGAGCCATTGAGAGAGAGAGAGCATGGGTTCCAAATGCAATTGCAAGTGATCTCCATATGTGTGTGTGTGTGTATTGTTGTTGGTTTTTTTTGCATTGCATTTTGCCGGGCGCGCTTCTCAAAAGTTTTCTAATGCAACTGTAGTACGAGCACGAGTATGTGTGGGTTATGATAGTATGTGTGAGCCAGCGACTAACTTGTTTTTGTTGTCGTCGCATTCGCATTCGCATTCGACTTTTTCAATGAGTCAATCCTTGAAATGTTGACTTCCTGATACGCATATGACTATTGAACAAGTTTGCTTTGTTAGATTTTTTTGAAGGTTGCGTATTTTATTCACACACACTCTGGCACATGCAGTCTGCTGGGGCACGTTGAGCCATACATACATACATACAAACACACATCAATTTTCGTAGTAAGATATACACATACCCCTTTTTTTTTTTTTTTGTGTCTTTGCTTAGTAGTGCTTGACTATTAGTTTCTTCTGTTCTTCTTTTTCGTGTTTTTAATATTTTAATACTCTTGCTTGGGAGGTATGCTGGCTAATTAATTTTATTATTTAACAAAATGTGATGCATTTTAAGATAAACACCCAACTATAAATTACAATCAAGAGAACTTATAATTAGAACTATAATTGATGCAATAGTTAAGAGGTACATATTTTGAAAGGATTATGCTTTTGTTGACCTCCAACCCAGTTCTGTAATATTTTATATCGCATTTACAGTTGGAGCATAGAACAATGGCTCTACTGCAGTGGGACAACAAGATCAAACGAAGGCCTGACTCAACTTTTCCTTCGCATCCACATTCACATTCACATTCGCACTTTAGACTCAGAATCGCCATCTCTATTGTCCCATTATGCATAATGGATGGTGTCTCGTGTGTCTCTGTTATTTCTTGATCGCACTTTTTATGGCTGTGGCGGAATAATTTTTCCATTTAACATTTTTTTTGTTTGCTGTTCTTTATGTTTATTTTGTTAATTTAATTAGAATTAATTTTTTTGTTTCTTCTTTGTTATGTTTTCTTCCTTAATTATTATTTTTTTTTGTGTAAGCCATCAAGAATTTTAGTATGGTTTATATAAGAGTGTCTCATGGCCAATAGTTTCCCAGGGCTAACCTTCTTTATGTAACAATGAAGCCATCAGAAGCAGTTAACATAAATATTGCGCATACGCCGTGGTGGACCGAAGATCAAATAAATTCTCGCTCATAATCATAATGATGATAATAATTTGGTAATTGGCGGCCACAGTTTTGAATCCAAAAAAACAATGCCCAATCAATTAACAAATATTTAAGAATCAAAATATTTCAATGGGCCAACATGGCGTATGGGTAATGTGGTTGAGGAAACACATGTTTTTGGGAGTTTCTGAGGAATGGCTAGCATCCAGCCCTGACCCAGTTATATTTTTCAGTAATTTCAACTAACGTTTTAGCAATATTATTACCCCAATGCAAATTAGTCACACATAATGGGGCGCATTAACTAATTGAATGGCTTTTTTTTTTCCACATACGTGGACCATGCAACTAAAATCGAACTTAACCGAATTTATAGGCAGACTGCATGGGTAGAAACAACAAAAAGCATAACAAATCTATCTTTAAGTACATAAATATAAATACCTCAGACAAAAAAAAAACAAACTAAAATAATAACTAAAATAAAATAACAAATGAGAGAGAGCAGGAGGGTGATAGACGAGACGCATACACGACGATTACAACAACATTCGTTACGCCCTTGGGCAGGGTGGCTCGTTGGTGCTAGAGGGGGGTGGTGGGCTGTGGGTGCTACCTGCTGTAAAAACAACAACAAACACCCTACGCTGCGGCCATTAGTGCGGCATTAGCGACTGTCTACAGTCTAGACCCCCAAAGCGACGACCTTAAACTTGAATCGGAATAGCAACAAAAACAGTAAAATAGAAATAGTAGCTGTAGTAGTAGTAGAAGAAGAAGCAGATTTAGAGAAGAAGGTCACACGGCTAAAAGCAAAAACAACAACAATACCATTTTGTGGTTACAACGGAAAATGAGCACAAAATGTAAAGCAAAAACTAAGGTTAAAAATTGCCCATTTGCTAATTTGCTTATCAAATTGTGACTAATAAAAAATCACTCTTAATTTATTGTTTCGTCAAGGAAAAATACTATTATTTAACTTACAAATATTGTAAAATTTATTTGAAAATATTATTCTTAATTCGAATGCAAGCAGTGACCTTGAAAACTTTTAACATAAGTAACAGTCTAACTCTATTTGAATTCAAAGCTTGTCTCGAAACATAAAACCAAATAGCTGGAAAAGCTTTTCCACCTGTATCGGAAGTATCTTAACTCGAACAAAAATAAATAAATAAATAGATAGATAAATAGTCACCATATGTGGCTAACTTTTTGCTAAAAAAACTAAATAACTGGCAAAAACTTGCGATCTTGAGCGGAACGTTAATAATATTTTGTTCAATGAAAAATAGCATATGGTTGTTGTTTTTATTTTTGTTGCTTTTTAAGCACGACTCGCTTATGTTCTTCACGCACACACACCATCACCACAAAACGCGACGTCGACACGCATTGGGAGCTGCATACAAATTATAGAGCCAAAAGCTTTTATTTTTATACAATTTATACGTAGCCATGACAGTGTGAGAAGGTCACACAACTACTATTCAACACACCGCCAATAATAATGCAAAAAGCTAAACGCAAACAACAAGAACAACAAACCAATATTTACGCAGTAAATGAGCAGAAACCAACACAATAATAGTACAAAAAAAAACGATAAAAATGTGTATGTGTGTGTTAAATAGAAGGAGACAAAGTCAAAGAAGCCGGCGCACTTCGCGCTTCTCTATTTCTCTTCCTTCTCACCTGTCACTTTTAAGTTTCGCTCTCATTCGTCTATTTTTCTATTTCTCGTTCTCTGCAACTAACGCATTTTGCATAGACACTGATAAAAATAATGTTAAGCTTTTGGGGAAAGGAAGTCTATTATTTTAAGAAATAAGGAAAGTCTAATAAAGAATTTTTAAACATCGCCTGGCTTAGGTTTTTTTAACACCTGGCTTAGGTTCTTATATTATGAACTTGTTTATAGAAACAAGGTAAATATATGTAATTTAATTTTTTTAAGGTGTATTTAAAGCTCTTCTATTATTAGCATTTGTCAAGAGCTTTAAATGGTGTTGTTGCTTTTGGTTCTTTTTAAATTTTAATTCTACTTGAAGATTTGAAAAGAAAGAAATATGTTTTGGAGTGTTCCGGGATTAAGATTGTTGAAAGGAATTAAAATAAGATTTAAGATAAATTTTATGAAAATTATAATTAGGTTAAACTATATAAACTTGCGTTTGTCTTCATTATTGATTTGAAACTTAAAATATAAAATGAGAAATAATTTTTTACATACAGATTTTGATTAAAATAGGTTGAGAATTAAATATTTTAATTCAAGTAAGTATAATTTTTTGAATGTTATTCTTAGGAATTAGTAAGCTAACATAAGTATACATATTTCTATATTGTCTTAATAGACATAATCTTATCATAATCTAATAATCTTAATAGATTTTTCTATAATTTTACATAATAAATTATTTATTTATTTGAAGCCTAAGCCAATTTGAAACTTACATAAATAACTCTTATCACATAAATATTAATTATATTGATAATGGGAACACCCTCATCAGCCTCATGCGTTTCTTGGTTGGCCTCTGCCAACTAAGTGATCTGCTGACACCGTCAACCGGTTTGTCAATGCCTCGCGCTTGTCTTTATTTTTTCTTTTTCTTTAAAGTTTAAAAAATTCAAACTTATGCATCGATTTTGAGTTTATTTCATATTTATTGATTGGATTCTGTCCGATTCTGTCCACTTGCAGAGACCGCACAGCAAACCGAAATAGGAGGCGACGCAGACCGATTCCATCTGACTTTTGGGGGGGACTTCCTCAGCCCCGCCGCCCAAATGCCCCAGCGCACCTTCAAACACCATAAATGCGTGCCAAAAGCAGCAAACTGGGAACTGATGCAAATTTGGTCAATGTCATCGCCATCGATGCTAATGGCAATAAAACTCTATACATCTATCGCATTCGCTGTAAGATAAAATCGTCAACTAATTCAGAGACTGTTTTTCCCTTAAAAAAAAGAAGTGCAGAACTAAATAAAAAAAACAATACAATTACTAAATAAAATGCGCCCAAGTGCGCGAAAAAGGAAAAACAACAACAATAAATACATTTACAATTATAACAAGTGGCACATCGGAGGAGGTCAATGTGCGAAGAGCTTATCAACCCAAAAAGTGAAACTACAAATTTTTCATAACTTTACACTGCCTTACGGATAATACCATTAACTATAAACTATAGTTCAATTTACAAACGAACCAATCAAAATTTATATAAAAGTATACATATTTACAAAACAAGTTACAAATAAAAACATTATAATTAACTAAAATAAAACCAACATTCAGCAACGTCGAGGATATTCTGTGACAACGACTAAAAAAAGCGAAAGGTGAGTCTCATCATAGGGAAAGGTTATTATATCATAAACTAAAATATTGTACTATCACAAAGACTAAGAAAACCAATCTAGGAAGTCTTAAGAAGACTGTTATAAAGAAGTAATTTCATTCTGAAAAATTTGTCAAGAAATTATATAAGAAATTTCTTATAGATCCTATTTCCTATAGACTAAAAAAACAAATTTATAAGTGAGTATGTTTAAATACAAAACTTTGCTTCTTATCAAGCAATTATATTGAAAAAAAGTTTCTATAGTTCCTATTTACTCTAGCCACTTCAGTCGACTCTTGATCCGTAAGGTCACCACTTCCAGGGAAAACGGGAAAGCATTCAACTTTCCCGCAAAAAGAGCCCCCAAGTCATAGAGTTCTCCACTCGATCACTTCATCGAAGTGCCGCTCACTGGGCAGGTCTTCGGGCGGTAAACCGCACCCAAATCGAGAATTCTCATTGCTAGCCAGTATTCTCGAAGGGGAACCAGGAAGTGCTGCCACAATGTGTAGATTCTCGTCTAAGTGCACATGCCAGTGCTGGAAATTGCTCCGCTAATCAGATATTGCGTATACGCACTGTGTGCCTCTGTGATTATTTGTTGTTTGAGGTGTAAGAGCGAGAGAGAGAGAGGGTGGCGGAGGGGACTGGAGGGATCTGGCGGACAAACCAATATTTTGCATAAATGTTGAGCAGCTCGGGCCAAATGTCTAATTATAATTCAGGCCGCGGGGAACGGCGAACAGTAAACGGCAAATGGCAAGTTTGGCGCCAGCTGAGGCTGGAGGTTTTCCATTTGCTTTTCCTTTCTTGCTTCTTGCTTTTCCTATTTATTTTTTGTTTTCTCTCTCTCTCTGCTCTTTCTCTTTCAAGTCTTCTTTCGCTTTTTTGCTTGAACTTGCCGTTTGGCTGGAAAGTGAAATAGCAAATCCGCTGCCAGCTTGCATTGAATAATGAAAAACGAGTTTTCCGCCGCGCATGCGCATCATAACAGCAGCAACAGCAGCCTGTTATTGTTATTGTTATTGCTGCTGGTGTTGTTGTTGCGGAAAAACCAAAGAGCCACTTGGAAAAATGGAAATGTTGAGCGGGAGAGAGAAAGAGAAATGACGATGATGACGATGACGCGGGTGCCAGGCTGGTCAATGCTGTAATGTCTAAGCTTTGGCAGTTGTTGCTGTTTTTCCAAATGGTATTGCAGTTTTAGTTTATGCACAGGGAAAAAATGTTTTTCTATTATTTAAAAATTAATAATAAAATAGGAATTAGAAAACTGTCCTTGCATGACCTTGCCAGCATTAACAACTTCGATACATCGCCTTAAAGCTTTTATCGATATACCTCGTCAATCCAATATGGCGTCAATGCCTTTTGCTAACAGTATTAAAAAATTTAACTATGTAATTTGTTTATCTGGCTTATAAAGAGGTATACAAAGATGCTTCTTAATTGTATCTTATCCCTAAATTATTTAATATTCTGTTGCTATTTCTTTTAAACTTTTAAAATTTATCCAAAATATTTGATAAAGAATTCGTATATTTTTTTTGAATTTTAATAAAAAGATATAAGATACATATTTCTTCTAGTGTTTGTTTTTCTTTTCTATTGCTCTTGAGGCTGATCTTCTTGTTGATGTTGCCGCCGTGTTTGTTGATGTTGCTCGTGTCTCCAAGTCGAGGTTGCCTTTGTGTTTTTGTTCTTTGGATTTTGATTTCTATAGCTGATAGTGCCACTATCATAGTAGAGATATAAATTTCAGATGCCTGATGCTGATGTATACAGATATAGTGTTGCTTCTAAGATGTTGCCTTGCTTTTTGAATAAATTTCGAAAACAAAACTATTAAAAATTTAAAGCCATGTTGATTTAAGGCGAACCTTTTAACTTTTATACTTACTTGCAGTTTCTGGTAGAAACTTTCCATTGTTAAAAATTTTAAGTACTGGAGCCCTTTTAAAACTCCCACTCTCTGGTCGTAGTGCCTGTTTAATAATTTTCATTTAACATTGTTGGCTTTTCTATAGTGAAGTAGTGCTTGCTGGTTTGCTGCAGTTTTGATATTTTTTCTATGCACATATATTTTTTCTCTTCGTATTCCGCCTCGTTTGCTTCGTAGTTCAATGTTAACGAACTTTTTGCGCCGTGAATGCAAGTTGTTTGTTGTTGCAAATGCTGAATGTTGCTGTTGTTTTTGGACTTTCACTTGTAATGAATTTGGCGAGTTTAAAACTTGTTGCTGCCGCTGTTGCTGTTGTTGTTGCTGTTGCATTAGTTGCCGTGTTGCATTTGTTGGCTGCCTGCAGTTCAGTAACATGTTATGTAAAAAGCATTTTTCCAGCTTTGCTTCTGCTTGTCTTTTTTTTTTTTCTTTCTATTTTTGTTGTATTATTTTTTCTTTCTTTTTTCTTTATTTTTTTTTTTTTGTTGAGTTTTCAGCTTGCCACAAAAATTTTGTGCAGCACGTCTTGGATGCAGCTGGAGTTGTTGTTGCTGTTGGTGTTGGTGGCACAGCTTGCCGAGTTTTCTTTCCGCTGATGCTTTTATGTTGTAATTCGCAATTTCTAATGTTATTGAACTTTAAACACCAACAATAACAAAAACAACAAAATAATCCAAAAACAAAGGAGGGGGAGAGCAAAAAGAAAAAAAACTTTGATTCAAAGGAAAATTAGTTATAACCGGAAGCCACAAGGCAAAAATTGAAACAATGCAACGAGACGACTTTCTATATTTTAATATCCTCTTCTTGCCTTTTTGCTCCCTCGAAAGCCCCCACCATATACCAATACTACATATATGCAAATATTTTAATGGATGCCCAATGATGCGGCATTGTTGAGATGCAGATGTAAATTTTAGACGGGGTCTGGCATGGTCTAGTCGGGAATTTCCCCCGAACTGAGCAATTGCAATCAAATATTTTAGAAACCATAGTTTATTAGTCTTTAATTTATAAAACCAATTTAAATAATAATATTTTTATATTTCTTCTTCATTTCAGACTCCAAAACAAAGCCAAAATAATTCTGAATTTTACAAAAATATCAACTTTTTATACATCATTTTTGAGTGATAGAGAAACACTCTATTCTTAACTTTTTGAGTGTTCTTACGTCCAGAAGTAATCAAGACTAAAGCTAAGCTAACTTTATACAAATTTGCAAAACCAAATCAAAACCGTCTCATATAAAGTGCCTAAAATACAATTTCCAATTTAATCTTATGAAAATTATTGTGAATCAACGAAATCAATTAATCAAAATCCATTTTTTATTATACCAAGTGTGATAAGGTATATAAAATTAATATAAATTGGAAAATCATCAATTTCCAAATCAAATTAATAAATTTTACCAAGTGGAGACGTGAGGAGGAACCCTGGACCTGGGTGGCATCAAGATTGATCAACATTTTCGCGACTGGCAAGGGTATTCAGGAAACGGCTACACGCTGGCAGTTAACAGTATTTGCAGTGCAGGCTTTGCCCTATCAGCGATGCCATTTATCGATGATGCACTGCTCTGGTGTCCGGATAACGATGGTCGTCTTGTTGGTGGTCTAGACTTGGCAACTTGCATAGCCGTGAGTATATCTTACCTTTTTTCATATACTGTTTCAATTCGACACTTATTCGATAATACTACATACCAACATTCTTAAGGAGCCTATCTAAAAAGTATATAGGGGACCCTATAGGGCAAAACCTCATTTTCAAGGGATCACATCACGAAAAATGGACAGAAAATCTAAAAAATATTTTGTCTCAGGATTTTGACGCAGAATGGTGGAGAATCGTTCCAGAAATCGTTTAAGGTACTCCGCTTGAGAATCGGATGAGAATTGGGAAAGATATAGCCATCACTGTGGGCCCTATAGGGGAAAACCCCATTTTCAAGGGATCCCATTAGGAAAAATGGAAAAAAATCTGAAAAATATTTTGTGTCAGGATTTTGATGCAGAATGATGGCGAATCGATCTAGAAATCGTTTAAGGTACTCCGCTTGAGAATCGGATGAGAATTGGGGAAGATATAGCCATCCCTGTGGACCCTTTAGGGGAAAACCCCATTTTCAAGGGATCCCATCACGAAAAATGGAAAAAAAATCTGAAAAATATTTTGTCTCAGGATTTTGATGCAGATTGGTGGAGAATCAATCTAGAAATCGTTTAAGGTACTCCGCTTGAGAATCGGATGAGAATTGGGGAAGATATAGCTATCACAGTAGACCCTATAGGGGAAAACCCTATTTTCAAGGGATCCCATTAGGAAAAATGGAAAAAAATCTGAAAAATATTTTGTGTCAGGATTTTGATGCAGAATGATGGCGAATCGATCTAGAAATCGTTTAAGGTACTCCGCTTGAGAATCGGATGAGAATTGGGGAAGATATAGCCATCCCTGTGGACCCTTTAGGGGAAAACCCCATTTTCAAGGGATCCCATCAGGAAAAATGGAAAAAAATCTGAAAAATATTTTGTCTCAGGATTTTGATGCAGAATGATGGCGAATCTATCTAGAAATCGTTTGAGGTACTCCGCTTGAGAATCGGATGAGAATTGGGGAAGATATAGCCATCACAGTAGACCCTATAGGGGAAAACCCCATTTTCAAGGGATCCCATCAGGAAAAATGGAAAAAAATCTGAAAAATATTTTGTCTCAGGATTTTGATGCAGAATGATGGCGAATCGATCTAGAAATCGTTTAAGGTACTCCGCTTGAGAATCGGATGAGAATTGGGGAAGATATAGCCATCACAGTAGACCCTATAGGGGAAAACCCCATTTTCAAGGGATCCCATCAGGAAAAATGGAAAAAAATCTGAAAAATATTTTGTCTCAGGATTTTGATGCAGATTGGTGGAGAATCAATCTATAAATCGTTTAAGGTACTCCGCTTGAGAATCGGATGAGAATTGGGGAAGATATAGCCATCCCTGTGGACCCTTTAGGGGAAAACCCCATTTTCAAGGGATCCCATCAGGAAAAATGGAAAAAAATCTGAAAAATATTTGGTCTCAGGATTTTGATGCAGAATGATGGCGAATCTATCTAGAAATCGTTTGAGGTACTCCGCTTGAGAATCGGATGAGAATTGGGGAAGATATAGCCATCACAGTAGACCCTATAGGGGAAAACCCCATTTTCAAGGGATCCCATCAGGAAAAATGGAAAAAAATCTGAAAAATATTTTGTGTCAGGATTTTGATGCAGAATGATGGCGAATCGATCTAGAAATCGTTTAAGGTACTCCGCTTGAGAATCGGATGAGAATTGGGGAAGATATAGCCATCCCTGTGGACCCTATAGAGAAAACTCTAACCTTAACCATTTAGTAAAAATATTAACAATAAAAAATAAATAATAAATAAATAATAATATTTTATTTATTATTAAAATAAATATTATTTATTTTATTTTATATTTTTCAGGATGATTCTACGGTAACTGGAACGGATAACATAAATCCAACAATCCAATCAGCTGGCAACCCAAACAACCCCCAGCAGGCAGTGTCCAATATCGTAGGATCGAATGGAGTCGGTGGCGAGCTGAACGGGGCAGCGGCAAGAAGCGTGAATGTGGTGGTGGAGCCGCTCTGTGGCAGCGACTCCTCCGACGAGCTCTTCCGCAGCTTCTCCGAGAGCAACTTCGAGATCGAGAGCCTGCTGTCCGATTTGGCGACCGTCGAGGTTAAAGTCGAAAATGTACATCCGCCAAGAACAAATCAGAGAAGTTTAACCTCAAATCTATCTATCTATCTCCATCTACTATATACTACATATCCATACACATGTCCACTATATCAATGGATTTTTCATCATTGTCTTGTTTCTTCCCTTTCTCTCTGCTTTCTGCGTCTTCTCTCCCCGCATCTGCACCCGTGGAACATCCTGCTCCCTCCTCCAATCTGAATGGGTCCTCCCAGGAGGAGAACAACAACAATGTCATCTCGGCCGCCGACATGGTGGCGGATGACTTCGCCAGCGTGGCCGCCGCCGTGGTGGCCGGCGACGATCTGCTAGCCAAAGAGAACGCCCAGCTGAGTGCCCAGGGCCTGGTCGATTCGGTGGCCGCCAGTCTGGCCGATGGTGGCGATGCCGCTGGCCAGCAGGCGCTTCTGGCCTTTGGCTCCTCCAACTCGGCGGCGGCTGCTGTGGCCGCGGCTGCGGCGGCTCTCTGCGGCGATCTGATCAACAACAACAACGCTGGCGGAGGCAGTGGAGGTGGTGGAGGCGGCGGAGGAGGCGGAGTCGGATCAGGTCAAGGCAGTGACTGCGCCACCAAGCTGGAGTACGCCCTCATGGGCGGACAGCCGATGGCGGAGGAGCCACGATTCGTCACCAGCGCCGCAGCCAATCCCCTGCTCGTCGAGAAGCTCATGTCCAAGTGCCTGAACATCGAAAAGCGAATGGATAAGCTAAGCGGTAAGTCAAGAATTTTGATTACTTAGTTATAATTATGATTGCAGATGCAGAAAAGCCTAAAATTTAGTATTTTTCCTATAAATTGAATCTTATGATCTCTGATTTTTCGCGCCAAAAGTTTGAAAATTTTTGGTTGGTCTTATTCGACACAGAAAGCGTTGCCAGACTATCTACATAGTCTTACATTTTTATTCTACATAATGTATAAAAGGCATCTACAATGTAGACTCGGCCATTGCTTACACCGTTTCTTACATGTAGAAAAATACTTTACCTATTCACGTCAAAAATGGTATGTAAATATTATTTAGCCGATTTCACAACCACTATAAAGAGCCTAATAGTATGCACCGAAAAATTGTTGCATTTTGCAAATCTTTTCTTAATTTTAATGTTTTTTTGTGTTACCTGTTTTTAAATTAAAATAATTGTTATAAAAGATATAATTAGGTTGGGTGACAAGAACAATAAATTTCTAAATATCGATGTAGCCTTAATCCAACCTTTGCCCTTAGTTTTTCTTCAGAAAAACCCCCAAATATGAACCTTTCCAGCAGACCAATTACTTGTTTTACTTATTCCTTGAATGTCCGACATGAAAATATTTATTGGCTTAATTTTAATTAATTAAATTTCCCATCTGGCCAACGATTCTTTTTTTACACAAAAAATATTCGGGGCTCCTTCCATCGCCAAAAACAAAAATCTGTCAGCCCAACAACTGCCAGAAATAAATAAAAAAGGCCAGTAACTTGTTTATTAAATCCCGACAGGATGTCCTCCCTACAACGAACCACCCACAGCGGCCCCCCAAGACAGTCAACCACCTAGCGACTGAGCCCCCGCTCCTCCCCCCTAGCTGGTGGTTCTAGTAGCCAAGGCAAGGCACCGCCCAGACGACGCAGACTGAAATATAAATGTCGACGCTCGGAGCTCGGGTTGTTGTCTCGTCGTTCTGCCTAAAAAAGAAAGAGGAGAAACAAAATGGCTAGAAACTAGGGACACGACTAAGGGGATACTGGGCCTTATACTTTTTGGTTACAAAATTCCAAAAAGTATGGCCTATCTTTAGGGGCTTGGCTGGTACTAAAGAGAGCTTGGAAGATATGAAAGATTTTAAAGTTTTCTTATTAAAAAATACTATATATTTGGCATAATTTGTAGCTAAAGGGTCTATTTTTTATATTCGTTTAATAAAAGTAGATTTTTTAAAAAACAATATATTTTTAAGGGCTTAAAGTTTGTGATACATTCAAGGTTATCTTCTAAAGACATAATTTCTAAAATATCACCATTAGTTTAGAGCTTCAAAAAATATATACCTTCTTAAAAAGTCAATTTTTAAAAATATAAATATCTATGTATATGTTTATCTCAAGAAATTCTAAAATACAGATTATAAAGATAAATATACTAATCTCTATAAACAATACTAGATGCTTAGTTTCTTCTTTAAACCCTAACTTCCTCTAAAATGTTACAAGTCCTTCGTAACACACAACACTCCCCATTACAACCACGATTACCGGGTATACAACAAAAAAATGGAGGTTCCAGGACCCCCGCTGGTTTTTCCTGGTGGATGTGGATACTTGGAGAGGCACTTTCTAGAACTTTGGGTGTGCTGGGTGCTAGGGTGCTAGGGCGCAGTGGAGGCAGACAAATAAACGTCTATTGACACGACAAGGCAGACGGCGACTGGAGTTGTGAACCCCCTCGGTTCGGGGAAGCAAACCACCCACAGACATCGCCCCCGACAGTTCCTTCGTCCTTTTTCTGCGGGCACCTACTTCCTTTTCACGAAAATATAAAAAAAACCCAAGGCAGACAGAGCCCAGGGACGGGTCGGGCTATTGGGGGCCATTTTCGGTATGCTTTCTCCGATTTGGCGCTGCTCGTTTTTGTTTTCAAAAGTTTTCCGAACCGGGCGGCGAAGCCAAGTCAGACAGCCGGGTCAATAAATTTTGCGTGTGGAAATTGTGAGCTCAAGGTCAAAAGGATATTTGCCTCGCTCCGGCTGTGGCTGTCTGTGTGCTCTGCTCTCCTGCCGAGTGTGTAGGAAATGTTTGGAATACAGACAGTATACATATAGTATACATGGCACGTACATATTTAAGCGGCCGTCTGCCTAAGCCTGCGCCTGTATTGGTGCAAAATGGCTGGCCCATACTCCCGTTAGTCGGCCATTTTGCTGTGCGTTTGTGTGTGTGTGTGAGTGCGTGTGCGTGCGGCAGACAAAGACCCAAGACTGTGGCTTTGGGGGAGCGGGGGAGGTGTTGTGGGTTTTTTGGGTTCGACTTTGGCTTTCCGGCAACCTTGAACTTGAACAATTTCGTTGAAGTTCAGGCCGTAAATGAGGCGCCCTCATTTGGGTCCTGCGCCTCGTTCCCCCTCTGCCGGGTCCACCCATTTTTTTTTTGAATGGCTCTTTGGGTTTTGGCTGGGAGGTCCTGTCGGCCCGTGCCTATGAACGTTTGTCTTTATTTTCATTCGTGTGTTTGGGCGCTTTGGCGTTTTGGGTTCAAGCGCCGCACGGCCCAAGCATTGAACTCTCGCTTTCAAGGATACGCCACGCACTCGGTATCTGAATCGGACTGAAATTCGGATCCAAAGCCCGGGCAGGCAGTCATTGAAACGCCGTTCTCGGATCTCGCCGTGGCAAGCCGTTGACATTGCGAGCGGTCGTCAACGCTGCACGGCAAAAAATTGCATTCTTAGATAATGTTTTTCTAGGTTTAGATTTGAAAATATTAGATACATTATTAAATCCGAAGGATACAGTTTTGGGATTTATAGTATATGTATATTAGGAAAACAATAGGTATGTTTGAAGGTTGTACTTCGAAAGAATCATTTCTTAAAGAAAACTATTTATTTTTTGGATGATTCCTTAAAATCGTTTTGGAAAACGATATAATTTTTTATTTTAACTACTTTTATTATGGGAAATAAATACAAATTTAGCAATAATACATTAAAATAGGCCATCATATTCATGGAAAGTAATATTTCAAGAATAGTAGGAAAGTACAAGGTTTAATATAAAGCCTAAAACAAAACTTTAATATTTAATATCAATTAACCAATATATGGTTTTTTTCTTTAAAATATATTTTTTTCTTGAAAACATATATATCTCTATGCAAATTATATAAGATTATAGAATTATATGTAATTGGAAACTCCAAGTATTTCTTTCTGTCTCATCGCCAACGTCTGAGATTGTTCACTTTGTTCGAGTTAAGCGTCAGTCCAAGGTTCTTTTGCGGCGGCCACGGCTGCCACGGCCTGAACCTGCCGCCTCAGCACGCCCCAGCATCCCCCCCCTTTTAGAATCGCCTGCAACCACATCTTGGGCTTCTCTTTCAGTCTGACTTCTCGACTCGCTATTAATGTCAAGGGGTTCCACACGACCAGACCGCCGTTTTTGAAAAGTGCGTTAGTTTCTGCGTTTAGGCCGCTCACTTGAGGGCTGGGGCACTATGGGAAAATCTCGGCTTTGATGGAAAAATCTATTCAATTGACAGAATGATTGCTTGCTGCCACCATTCAGTGTAGTTGATTGCTGATAATTTGAGTCGCCACTTGGCCATTTGGCTAAAAGTGTTTCAATTTGCATGACAATTGCTGTTAGAATTGCTAACTAGACGAAGTAATAGGTGATTATTATTATCTGATATGATTAATTGATTTTAGTCTGCTAGCCTTTTTTCTTTGGAAAATTTCTCTTTTTTCGGATCGATTTTGGTTTCACTTTCAGCCATTTACCTCTCCATCCCTGGCATTAGCACTTGGCCAGATTATTTATTTGATTACTCCAACTGACATTTTCTATTCTACATCGAGTATGTATCATTTTAGCCATTTTGCTCATGGCTCATGGCTATAGCTCAGTGCACGCATTTCTTGGCTTTAGATTTGGATTGCCAATTTGAATTTCAAATCGATGTTGTTGTTGCTGCCGCTTGCTGCAGTTTGTTGCCATTTTTTGTAGCCTTTTTTTTTTTTTTTTTTTAAATGTGCGTTGTTATAGCCAAATCAGGATTTCTGCGTGCCCCGGCCATACCGAAAGCCCAGCTATCGTCTAACAACAATTACAACGAAAGCAACAACTAACAACAACAACAATGAACAATTGCAGCAGCAACACAAGCAACAACAACTAACGATGTCAGGGGCGTTCATTTGTCCATTGCCAGCCAGGCAGCCACCGCCAGCAAACGAACTGAACCGAACCGAACCGGGCCGAGCACGTCACTGTCACCAGCGGACAGCCCCCCTGGCCCCCTGCCTGAGACAGGCCACCCCCCAAAAAAGTGCACTGAAAGAAAAGTGTTTTTAGAGAAAACAAGGACCTCTTAAGAAGGTTCTAATAAAAGAAGATTTCTTTTTATTTAAAGTCTTAGTTTATATTAGTTCTTTACCTTTAATTAGTTACCCTAGTTCATAATAATTTATTTTTTATAAGTGCACCCCCTTGGTGGCTTCCCTCCCCTGGTCTGAATGCCAAAACGTTGCCACTGCAAAATGCACTTTGCAATTTTGTTGATTGCTTTGGCATTTGTTGTTACTGTTCTCTTGTAGTTATTGTTATTGTTGTTTTTGTTTTATTTATTTATATATATATATATATATTTGTTTTGCGATTTATCTAAATTCGTTCGTTTTTGTTGTTGTTGCTGTACGCATTGCAGGTTGACCGCCGAGTTCAAGTTTTAACGGATATTGTTTAGTTGTTGCTGCTACTGACAGTATTGCTGTTTATTGTTGTTGTTAGCTGCTGCTGTGTTCTCATTTTTTTGGCAGGAGCCTCGCCTTAGCCTCGTTATATAAGCAGCATTATGGCTTCACGTTCTTTTGTACAAAACTTGCCAATGAAGTCATTTTGTGCGCCATTTTGTCAAGTTGCAGCAATTGATTAATGTTCCAGTGGCACCTTTTTTCACTTTTTTCACAGATCAAAAATCTTAATTAGTTTTTCGCTTTCAGATGACTAACAA